ATTTCACCAAAGAGGACATTCAAATGGCCACCAAACACATGAAAAGATATCAGCGTCATTAGCCATCTGAGAGATGTAAATCAAAACCACAATGAGATATCGTTTCACTCCCTCTAGGATGGCTAAGATTTAAAAAAAAAAAAAATGGTGTGCGTAAAGGGAAACAGGAACCCTTACCTATTGCTTACCCATTGCTGGTGGGAATGCAGAATGGTACAGCAGTTGTGGAAAACAGTGTGGCAATTCCTCAAAAAACTAAAAATAAAACTACCATATAACCCAGCAATCTCACTCTTAGGTATATACCCAAAGTCTTGAAAGCAGAGACTCAGAGACCTGTACACCAAAGTCCATTGAAGCACTATTCTCAATAGCCAAAAGATGGAAACAACCTAAATGTCCATCAGCAGATGAATGGACAAACAAAATGTGGTAGATACATACAATAGAATACTACCTAGCCAGGTGGAGAAACGAAGTCTTGATACATGCTACACAATATAGATAGAGCTGGAAGACATTATGCTGAATGAAATAAGTTAATCACAAAACGACAAATATTCTAAGACTTTGTGTCTTAGGCTGGGTTCTCTAGAGAAGGAAAACCAGTAAAGTGTATAAATATATATACAGAGAGATTATATCAAGGAAACAGCTCACACGATTGTAGAGGCTAGAACGTCCCAAGTCCGTGGATCAGGGTAGAGGCTTCTCCCAAGTCACACAGCTGCAGAAGCTGGCAAGCCCAAGATCGGAAGGTCGGAGAGCAGGGCTCCCACTCACAGGCTGTGCAGATCGTCTAATCCCAGGTTTGGCAGATAAACTGACAGCTCAAGTCCCAAGAACAGGAGAAGAGACGACAGGAAGCAGCTGCAGGATCCAGGGAGAGCAAAAAGCCAGAACATCTGCTTATGTACAGATGCAGGCCACACCCCCAAGGAGACTCCCTTTCATCTGATTGGCTACTCACAGTATATTCAATCATGGGAGTGATTACATTAAAACACGGAGAATCATGGCCCAGCCAAGTTGACACACAGTCTTAACCATCACACCTTGCTTATATAAAAAGACAAGAAAAAGCAAATGTATAGAGGTCAAAGTTTATTACTGGTTACCAGGGGCAGGAGAGAGCGGTAAAGGGGGAGTTAACAGTGATGATTAAGGGTAGGGTTGCACAGCCGATTAGTGTAATTGCTGCCAAAAATATGTACGCCTGTAAAAAGTTGAATTGGCAAAAGGTGTGTGATAGATATATTTACAACAATGACAAAAAAAAAAAGAAAAATAGTAGCTGCTGAGGCTGCTTATGTACAGCCAAAAACCTCAGGGATTTGGTTTCTTGGTTTGGAAGTTTAGGGTCATTGTTTCATGGGGCAGCCCAGTTAATTGGCCTAATAACATTATTAGTGCTTCTGTTCTACCTCTTAGTTTGATGTGTGGTGCCTGGGGTATGAAAAGCTTGCAAGAGGTCATCCAAGGCAGAACAATTGCTCTGTATTCACCTGGAACAACAGAGGAACAAGAAGAGTCAGGAAAAAGAGAAGTAAATGGACTGTGTGGCTAATTGTCTGCCTTAACAACTGCCTGCTTTGCAATGAGACCAGAAAAACTGGATGGTGCCCAGATACCATTACTGAACATTTTAATCAAAGATTCCATAGAAAAATCCTGATCAGAAGGGGGAAAATGCAGAACAGAATTTAAAATTCTCATGGACTCCAGACTTTCTGGAGCCAGGAAGGTTGGATGAATCCCTGAAACTATTGTCCTGAGATAATCTTTAAACCTTAAACCAAAAATATTCCCTGAAGTCATCTTAAAACCAAACAATAGTTTAACTTAACTAATCAAAAAGTCTGCCTTGAGCATTATGCTCTTTTAAGAACTATCTATGTGAGATCAAAGTGACAACAGTAACTGAAAAGATTAGATAAGAATCGTGGGGAGCAGTGAATTTATGTTAATAGGGGAGAAACAACTCAGCAAAGGAGGGTGAGAATGGTTGCACAACTTGCAGAAATGTAAATAATGTCACTAAACGGCATGTGTAGAAACTGTTGTATTGGTGTATGTTTTGCTGTGTATATTCCCAACAGCAATAACAAAATAAATTAAGTTATATATTAAAAAAATCAGTCCTCTGCATATGCCTTCAATAAATATTGGATGGACGGGTGGATGGATGGATGGGTGGGTGGGTGGATGGATGGATGACTGTTTGCAAAGTCATGGATGGTTGACTCTTTGGTAGCCATCTTACACTCCTTTAATGTCTTGATATTCCTTTAAATTTCTGGGAATGTGGCTCAGATTTTACTCCTCTGTATTGTCACCAATCTACGATTTATAAATCATACGTTCTGAGTTTGAAATGATGGATTATCCAGTAAAACTTCCCACGCAGCGCAAGAATTCTGTGGAAGAGTTATGAGAGAGTTACCTAGCCTCTGCTTGAACATCTTAAGTAATCCTTTGCCCCAAGGCAAACCGTTTTATTTTTGTTTAAATAATTTACTTTGAAATACATTCAAAACTAAATAAATTTGCCATTATAGTACAAAAAACTGTCTCTACTCTCCTAATTTTTCCCCAATTGTTAACATTTTACCACATGTATTCTCTATCTCATATATATACACATATATATGATGTGTGTGTCTGTTGTTTTGTGTACATCTATATATACTAATATAATTAGTATTGTAATTAGTGTTTTCTGACTATATATATCCATTGGAATATATATCCATTGGGAATATATATCCATTGGAATATATATCCAATGGAATATATAAAAATCCATTATAATTAGTATTATAATTAGTATTTTCTGAACTTATTGAAAGCAAATTGCAAACATAATTGTCTATCACCCTTAAATATCCCAGTGAATATTTTCCTAAAACAAGGACATTCTCCTACATAACCACCACACAACCTGTCTAATCAAAAAATTAATACTGGTTTAATACTCTCAATAGAAAGAGCTAAGAATTCTATGTATGTCTATACACACACACACCCCTACAGACACTTACTTTTACTTCTATGTATCAAAAACCCTGAGCTAGTTCATACTTATATCTCCAATTCTAATCTTAAGTCTGGGTTTTTCTTTTTTTTCTAATACTGAGAGATCAGACTCTCCTTATCCTCACTATATTTACTAATTTCTTCATTTACTTATTTAATACTTACTTGTTCAGTGTAACCACTTTCCCAACCATGTCGGCCATCTCCTCCATTCACCCCCTCTGCCTTCCCACCCTCTAATACTGTCCACCCCTACTAACTGCCCCCTGCCCCACAGTACTCTTGGGTATGGTAGGCACATCTCTGGCGAGCTTCACTCAGCTCCTCGTCTCCCCATCATTGGCATGCTGGTGGCCTGCTGCCAACTGTCTGCCCCAGGATGGAAAGCAAAGATGGGAAGGGAAGTGAAAAACCTTTTCATGTTTTAACAGTTACTAGGAAGCTATTCTTAGGATCGGTCTTCTGTTTCTATTCCCTTTTTCTTCATTATAGCACTGAAATATTTGAGGATAATTAGAATCTCCCATCAATTCTCTCTCTCGGACCAAACCTCCCCATTCCTTTACTTGTTCCTCTTGAACCTTGTTTCCAGGGCCTTTACCAGTGTGGTTACATTCTCTAGCAATTGTTGATTTATTCTTCCAAATATACTTTTCTCTTATCTCTTTCTCATATGCGATTGTCATTCACTGAGAAAGAAAAGCAATAGGCATAGAAGTCACAATGCCTGATTTGGGATGAACTTAAATGTAGATGGGCTAAGTAGCTGTCTTCTGAAAACAATTTCCTCCACTCTTGCCACAAACCCAATCTATTTGCCCCACAAATGTCAGAAATTCTATTTTTAGAATCCATTCCATTGAATGTATACTAATAAGGAATTAAACAGAATAGTGAAAAGCAAAATCCATGGGTTTTGGAGTAAAACAGACTGGGCTCCAATCCCAACTTTGCTAACAGATTCAAATCTCAGATTTTCACTTTAAAATAGATTCAATCATATTTATCTCACACTACTACTGGGAGGTTTAAATAAGATGAACTTTCTCAATCTTTAGACAGAGTATTTCCTCATGTATTGTTAATTCTTTTCTAGCTACAAGCACAACTAGCATATGTTGTTACAACACTCTTATTAAAACACAAATATTCTTGAAAGAACTCTTAAACATACAAATATACAGTAAGTAACTAAAGTTACATGAATTAATTTGTTAATTATTTTCTACAGGACACAAAAATAACATGGCTTCAGAATATTGGTTGCCTGGTGGATGGTGATGTTTTTAAAGAAAATGGTTCAAAAATGAGGGCAGCAGGTTTTAAGAGTTGAATTTTCCCTACTTGATCTTCCACTTAGAATGGGTCTTTTATATAGTCCCAAACCCTTTGATTTTTTGTTTCAAGTCTATTACCTGTTTGGTTGTCCCATGCCACTCGATTTTAAAGTACAGTATAACAAAGTATGGAAGGGGACTATATTCAGTAATTTCCCAATAAATACTTCAAAGAATAGTCAAAAATATTAATAAAACAAACTCTAATTGCTGATTTTACAATTAAATATTTTTTAAAAAACTAGAAAGTGTAAATAAATGGGAATCGTTTTCATACTCAAGTTTGTGGATCAAAAAATTTCACTGCAAGTTTTACGATGAAAATTGAATGAAAAATGTTTGGCTATAGAAGCAACTAGAAATAAAACTGCTTAGAATGCTTAGTTTTGAATTATAAGTTTTTATTTGAAAACATTTGAGAATAGATTATACTAGTTGATATTGCCCTCTCTTTAATCAGATCTTTCTTTTATTAAAAATACAGAGGAAGTGAAAGGTGATGGATAAAAACAGCGTAAAATATTGTCTGAAAACTAAACTTCCTAAAGTTCAGAAATAAAGTAAAAGATAGAGGCAGAATTCTTGATTCTTTTTTTTACATTTTATATGTGCACTTTATTGACAATGAAATATTTATTTTTCTTTCAGTTGTAATTGCTTCTTATTTCTTTTTATCTTCACTTCACCACTTGTTTCCTGACATAATTGCTTGGCTCTTCGTTCATGATCCAGAATTTCTTTGGGGAACAGGTTTTTCTCATCAAATACAGCTTTCAAAGCTACAAAATGATGAAGAAAATGGCATGTAAATTATATTTGATAAGAGACCAAATTAAGTCAAATAATGGGGAAAAATTCTTAAGTTTTATTTTATCTAAAAATCTGTATGTTTCTACAACCAATTGTGTATGAGGGGAAATTTTCTCTAAGATCTTGCCATTCCTTTAACTTCAATTTAAATTTACAAGTTAAATTTTAAAAGAATTTGTTTTATTCATTCACTTATATTATGATAGAGAAACACTAGTTGAGAGTAGGGGACTAAAGAAGCTTGAGTTTTTATTTTTTAATCGACTTAACAGCTATCAAGAATTCATAAAAAGCCAAGAGTAGATTATTCTGTATTGAAATAAGACAATTAAAATAATCAAAACACAGTTTGACTGTCTGCATGACTAAATAAGTACATCTGCAATCACATCTTCATAAGATACTTGATCTGCAGGGATCTGTGGATTAAGAAACCAAAAAAAACCGAGCCAAATTATCCCCATGAGTGGTTATATTGTGAATCAATGAGACGTAGGAAGAAATTGTGCCATGCATTCAAGAAAATAATTTTGGCCTTCTGCTTAATTTTGCTATTTCAACAAATGTTTATTGAATGTATATTATGCATAATGTTCTGTGCTCAGGCATAAATGGGACTAAGTCACCGGCTCTCTTCCAACTGGTAGAAAGAGGGACCAGTAGCCAAGTAACCAAAATATCATATTCAATAGGATACAGTTCTAAGAGAATATGAACAAATGTAAAATGTGCTTACACACACAAACAGATAACTTACAATACACAGGGATCAGAAGAAAAGCTTTAAGAATTAGGCCTACTTGAGAAAGCCCTTGGAGTCCAGATCGGATTTTAATTGATAATAAGGACCTTGGAGATGGGGCAAAGATTGATGGAGGGGAAAAAAAAGTCAAGTCGAGGAAACAAAGTGAATAAAAGTATGGAAAAACAAGAGCCACTATTCAGGTAACTCTGAATAGAACAATTTAACAGAAATATAAGATACATAAAGATGAGTGAAGTGGAATGAGAGGTTGGAGCTGAACTGAGGAGGACCTTAAATGTCATGCCAAGGAATGTGAAAAAAAGAAACCTAAATAAAAGCTGGGCAACTCCCAGTTTAGTGGCCCCTTTGTAAATTTGTATTAGGGAAAACAAACAAATTTTCCACTTTCAGTACAATGTGCATAAATCCACATCTTTCCTCTTTTTCTTCTGGAAAATATACAAAAATAATCAGGAATATGGGGGGAAATAATGCTGCAAACGAATTCCACATTCCGCAAATCTCCAAGATAGATGTAATCAGTAGCCTACAAAATATGAAGAAAGGTAGCCAAACAGCTGAGACTGGACAACATTACATAATAGAAATGGTAAGTATATAGAGTGGTCAGAAAGTTCTAGCAAAAAGACACTTACTGAAGGCGAGGGGCTCACCCTGCAGTACAAGGTGAACAGAGATGGAAGCAGAAGCTCTCCATGCCTGATTTAGCTCAAAGAAACAGATAAAGCTGGGCTACATAAATTATCACATACATGAGCCAATTTTGCAAAAAGCAGTCTGCCCTGTGGGTTATTAAATATCGAAGGCCACCCTGATTCCCCATCCCAAGCTCTTACCCAGAGACCTACTGCAAATTTCAGGCTTAAGAAAAAACAATGCATCATTAATAGTAATTAAAAAGAAGAAACAAAGGAACTTACACAGCACGGACACAAAGATATTATAAGCCAAAAAACAAACAGTAGAAAAGAGTAGCAAAACTTATCAATACATGGACCACCAACAGAAAAAATGTTGCCATCAGCAGATGAATATTGTTACCAAGCATTTTTCCATAAATGAAATTTAAAATCTTACAAAAACAATTACCTCTATGACAACAGATCATAAAGTAGAAGTGAAAGAACTCAGGGAAGAGATGGAGACACAACAAGAAGTGATGAAATATGAGCTGGCAGAACTCAGGAGAAAATAGAAAACAATATCACAAAAGAGAATAGACTGTATAATAACACAGTAGGAAACACAGAAGTATAGAAATGAGAAAAGCAATTTAAAAAGATAAAAATTTTAAAAATAGAATGAATTAGAGTGGAAAATGATAGATATTGAAGACAGACAAAAGATAGGATCCAACAAAATATAATCAGAGTGAATCCTTAAGAAAGAAAACTAAATCAGAAAAAATTTTAAAAGTAACATTTAATATAACCTTTTTCCAATAAAAGACAACTTATATACTGAAAGGACACACTCTATACCAGGGATATTTGACTCAGAATAGTCAAAACTAAGGAATATTCTAGTAAAGTTATTAAAATAAGGAGAGAATCATTTGGCAGCCAGATAAAATGACCAAGTCACTTAAAAGGAGAAAAATATCTATTTTGCATTAGATAGCAATGATCAGTACCGGAAGATAGTAGAACACCTACAAGATAATTTTAAAAACAACATACAAGCTAGTGACAGTATATAAACTGTCCCTAAAATTTTAAAAGTACAAATAGTTTTCAACATCTAGAGAATTCAGGGACTCTGTTACTAAGAGTCCTTTTTGAGGAAATTATTAGTAGATAAACTGAGAAACGACTGAGGAAAATTTGGAAAAAATATTGTGGACAGCACTGAATATATTTAAATGTAGAACTAAGGTGAAAACAATGTGAAGTTTAGGATAACAGAATAGAAGGTAACCACCATGTGCCTGACAATGTAGAAATATACGAAAACAAAAATAGGGAAAGGAAGGGAGAAAGAAGTTTCATTCCTGATAAATCAGTAAGAGCTAAGAGACAAAAGATACCACTTAAAACAGCCAAGTCGGAGATGCAGGGCCAAGACGATGGAATAGTCAGATGCTTCATGTCATTGATCTTACAACAAAGACCTGAAAAAACAAGTGAATCAAATATATATCTAACAGTCTAGGAACACTAATCATCAAGTACAAAGATGAAGAATCCAACTGAGTGGCAGGCGGAAGGAGAGACAATTTAAAAACAGGAAATGAAGAACTGTGGATAGTGGGATAGCCAGCGTCGTGCTAGCTGACTCTACACAGCACACACAGGCTGAAGCAAGCAGCAACATCGCAAGGTGAAACCCACCCCATCTGCTGCAGCCAAACATCAGTGAATCTGCACGCACCTCCAGAACCAAACAGGAGTGACACTAGACCTGCAAAAGTTAAGTACAAGCTCCCAACCCACTGCGTGCACTGACACCATAGCCACTCCCCACACCAGAGCTCCACGACTGAGGAGAATCCCCTTCCCTCACCGATCCCCCACTCCACTCCGACACCACTCCCGGCCTTCAACAACACCATGGCCCCTAAGCCAGAAACTCATGGCAGGTCCATTGGCACCTGCCCCTTCACCCAGTCGCTGGCATAGGGGGTCCACAGACTTGCAGTGCCTTTCACATCTGCCCTTCACCCCCGCTTCAGTGCCTTGTGGGCTGATCTAACACTGCACACCCTCATTAGCCCAAAACAGGCAGGGCATCCACCTGAAACCCATTTCACCTGCAACAGCCAAGTGGGAGCTGCAGATTTGTACATTCGACATTGTCTCACCCCCTAAGAAGGGGCCTCAACCACCCACACCAGGGGCCTGAGGGCCGGTGGTACCATCTACTCCATCTGGCCACCCACAACAGGGGCCTGAGAATTAATGACATCTCTCAATCCCTCCAGTCAATGGCACTGGGCACCCAAGTACCGGGTGCACTACCCTGCTCCCCGCCCACAGTGCACTTTAGTGGACAGGAACACTGCCTCCATCCAAGGACCCAGGGGTAAATGACAGCATCCTGACTTGCCCCACACATAGCCCCCCACGGCAACCAGAGGCTTGTCTGCTCCGAACACCCCTACTTACCCCTGCCCATGTAGGACTGTAGGTGACAGTGTCCACACCACACACTCAGTGACTGACAGTCTAGACACCTGCATCCCAAATGACTGAACTCCTGCAAGAACAGTGAAGACTCCTGGGCTTACACATTTAGTAGTTTCTCTGACCACCTAGAGATGGAAGGTGAGAGCTTCAGTGATGTCAACAACCAGAGTAGCACACACGCCCAGACTACTTGGACGTATAAAAACAAAAATACAGGACACAGTACACAAAAATACCATAAATAAATATAATAACTTTTTGATGCCTCAGAGACAACAGCAATATCAAATCACATAAAGAAGCAGGACAAGATTCCTCCAGCAAGTGACCAAAATAAAGAACCAGAAAACCTTCTGGAGGAAGATAAGGCAATGGAACTACCTGATAAAGAATTCAAAAGACAAATATATAGAGCTCTCTAAGAGATCAGGAAGAAGATCTTGCAAAACTCAGGCCAATCCAAGGAACACACAGACAAAGCAATAGAAGAATTCGGGAAAACAATAAAAGAACAAAACAACAAAATAAACAGGCTGCTGGTAGGAACCATACAGAGACAGCAACTAGAAATCCAAAAGATTAACAATAAAATTTCAGAATTAAACAACTCAATAGTAGGTCATAGGAGCAGACTTTTGACAATGGAAGTCAGAATTACTGAGATTGAAAATAAACTCCTTGACACCAATTTGTTTGAGGTAAAATTAGAAAAAAAGAATCAAAAGAATGAAGAAAGCCTAAGGATTATGTGGGATACTATCAAAAGGAAAAACCTACGAGTGATCGGAGCACCAGAACGGGGGCATAATGGAAAATACAAAGAGAAATGTTGAAGAATTGCTGGCAGAAAACTTCCCTAATATCATGAAAGATGAGAAGATATCTGTCAAAAAGATCAATGAACCCCATACAGGACAGACCTCAAAAGAAAGTCACCAAGACATATCGTAATCAAATTTTTCAAAACCAAAGACAAAGAAAGAGTCCTGAGAGTGGCAAGGGATAAACAAAAAGTCACCTACAAAGGGGAACCAATAAGACTAAGCTCAGATTACTCAGCAGGAACCATGCAGACAAG